CTGAAACAGCAAACTGGTTTAGATAAATATTCAGTAGACTAATTGTGGCCTTCAATCTTCATGTGGAATATTTGCCCAAGTCACATTTTATTGCTTTGGATTTATAAGCACAATCTGCAGCTCGATCCATGAGAAAACAAGAAAGCTCAAGAGTGGCTCAAGCACAGGACTATGAAAGTTGCATTTAAAATGTTTTGTGCGTGACATTTCACAGAAGGTCCTGCCACATGTGTGGAAACTTCTTTCAAATATAAAACAGACTGTTTCAAGCTTTTCCAGCCGTTTTACCAACAAAATGGGACATTTCATGAAATTTTGCAATCAGAACATTTCAGAACTGTAATGTTCAAACCATAATTTGAAAAAAAATAAAAAAAATGTGATGGCTGAAACTTGGCTAATTCAACACACTTTGATATCCAAATTTGATGGTCAACATACTGTATTTGTTCAATAAACATTTCCAGATACAGCTACGTGAACTCTTATTTTCGAATAACAATATCTTACTTTTTCAACATCTGCTTTAGTGGCGTTGGTATCATTGTCCAGTTTCTCATAACACTGCTGTGCCTTTTCTGCTTCTTTGCACTCTCTTTCAAATTTCTTTTTGCTCTACAATGCAATGACATAGTTACGAATCAATACAACTTATCACATTGCCTGTACTACTCTCACAATTACAATTCAGATCCATGCTCTTTTGATGAAAATGAAAAGTATTCTGCACACATTATTGCCCTTTAACCAGTGAGCATTTCATTTTGTAATTGTTTAATTTTTAGATTTTAAAACTTCCCACATCCTCTACCCTCTCAGCGGTGTATTCGTCCAACACTAGAAATAAAAGAACATTAAGATTAGCAAGACTATTACTTATTGCATTCCCCATTATTTTAGGAAGCTCTATCCATTTGCTAGCTATTGATTCCCCTAATTTAACCCTGAATAATCGGCTCTTCTGTGTGAACAGCATCATGCAGGTCCTATACATAAAAGTATTTGCTTTCTCCATCTGTCTGAAAAAGTTATCCTATCCTCAATACATCACATAAACCATATCATTACAAGAACTAATAATAAGAGGCTAACAAGAGTAATGTATCTATAAGCACACACAAATACACATACAAACACTAATTAAGACTACATGAACAACTAGTCTGAACAGCCTAGTCCAGAGGCCCTCAATCTTTTGGGTACCAGGGACCGGTTCCATGGAGAAAGAGTTTTCCACGGACCAGAGGGTTGGGGACCCCTGGCCCAGCGTTTTCATTCTTGAAAGCTCATATATAGCACAGAAATGTCCTGTATCTGAAATACAGTATATCATCAGCAGTAGAGATCATTAATAGATTTTTTTGTGGAGCAGTTTGTATACTAGAGAACAGCTCTGTATAAATGTTAGGTTTACCATTATCATTACTTGTCTCCTTCATAGTACATTCTTTTAGAAAGACATGGGTCAAGCCCAGTGAAAATGATTTGATAGAATGGAATGAAAATGAAAACTGGATCATATAACTTGGACTATGAAGATAGAGACCACAGAAATTGTCAATTTCTATATTGATTTTTTTTAAGACTTTAACAATAATTGGAAAGTTTGCAATTTTTTGCAATCCAATGCATATTACTCTGAAACTATTCCACTAAATTAAATTATTCTTATTTCAGGAGATTGAATATACAGGACTGCAGCCTTAGTTACACTTAAGCTAATAATTTTTTTTGCCTAAAATAATTATTGAACATTATGTAACTCCATCAACTTTCCTTTAATTTTATAACTATAATATCCAATATTTTAAGGCTAATTCATAAAAAATCATCTTAAAGTAACTCAAAAGAGTATTAAATAACAAGGGAAGATATGATTCTCAAGATTTAAATAAAAGTAAGCCTCTGGTCTACCAAAATAAATTCCTGCTTAAGAACCCCAAGACTAGGCAAGACTAATATATTTTATTACAGCTGAAATCTAGTCCATAAATCTATTAAAGTCATATTCCTGCAGATATTGCTGACTGAGGAATTAGCACTGTAATGATCTAACAAACATAACAATCCATCTTGGCTATTGAACAATGAAAGCACTGTGATTGCTCAGTGATAAACAAGTTCATTCATTATGTCTTCACTCTGGCATCATAAAACTATGCAACCCTAAAGAAACCAGAAAAGGAATAAAAGAAAACTCACATTATCCATCTGCTTCCAACACATGTCAAGATACTGTTGTGCTTTTCGGCCCTCTTGAAGGTGCTGGAATATAATAAACAAAATGTTTTACAAACCTCATCTTGCTTTTAAAACTGTTCAGCTTAATCTCACAAAATTTTACACACACACACACACACACACACACACACACACACACACGAAAAGGTAAAACAGAATGCCAAACAAGAATGTAAATCACAACAGAAGCATCATGATTTTAACATTACTAATATGCATTCATCCATTGTTTTCTTTCTTCCAAAGATGCCATAATTTATAGAGACCAATAATTTAAGAGATGCAATGGAAGGAACTACAATCCATGTAACTATGTGGTTTATATAATTGCATGGATTGCTGAGCACTGATATCAGGTTTTACTGCTATATTCCCTACAGCTGAAAAAAAAAAGCTGTCTTAGATATATAACAGCACCTTCATATTTTTAAAACTGTAATATTTCTAAAAGTCCTCAAATATATTAGCTACTAAATAACATATAAATCTAGAAGAAGCTTGGTGAGGACCTACAAAACAATCAAGGCTGTGATCAAAAGTTTGTTTCAAGGAATCCGCTCCATTGAAGTTTTTGTACGTTTGTGTGTGTGTGTGTGTGTGTGTGTGCATTTTAATAAAATACAAATCAGAAAACAAAATACATTTAAATGGGCTATATTTTAGAATCTTAAAGGCAAGCATATTTTTGCTGCATTTCTGCAACAGAACAATGCAGAACTACACGAAGATCTATATACAAGTTGGCCCAGCAGGAGAGAGACCTAATAATTTTTGCTGTTTTTGAGAAAACAAATAATTAAATTGCCCTGACACATTCATAGGTAGTTCAGCAAAACAGTAACTTGGATCTTCCACCCTTATCCTCTTACCAGTTTCCTTTCTGTTTTGAGTTCGTGGGAATATCTCATCAGTTCTCCATATACCCTATGTCCCAGTTCTTCTGCTACTACTTCACGTTGTCCTGCGTAGTCATTTAATTCATTAAGAATATTATAAAAGGCTATACATGAGGTAAACCTGGCAGAATACAGAAAATAAACAAAAAAGATATTTCATTATTACTGTGGGTGTACTACTACTTTTCTATAACAAAACAAGGAAAGGAATGTATCATAATCTAGCATGCTGTGAAGACCTTAAAAAAAAATGAACCTCAGAGAAAGAGGTAAAACACAAATGCCCAAACCACTTCTCATTAGAGAAGGTAAGATCAGCAGAAATTTATGCAGGGAGAAAATAAAGAATACCGCCCAAAGGCCCTGCAGAATAGAAGCATTTACTAAGATGTGAAATGAAAAGACAGATTTTAGGAATAAATTTAAAATTACGAGGAAAACTAAGCTTTATACAGAAATGATTCGCTTCATCTGGAAAATGGGACATATCATTCAGGTGTATCCTGTGAATGAGCGTGTTTGCTACATCGTGAAGGGTTGGACACTTGGGTTAGGTCAAATATGTTACGTTATTCTGACATAATATGTAGGGAGGCTTAGAAGTTTAGAACTGAATGGAGGAAAAGAATGGAGAAAAATGTATGGAAAGGAAGAACAAAGATTTTACTTCTTAAAAATAGACCTCATAAATTATGCTACTCATCGGGTCTTGAACGTACCAGAATTTGGAAGTCACATTAATCCAGATGACTTTACCTTATTATAAAATAATTACCTATGAAAAATGTACTTGGCTTAAACATTTAAATCCCAACAACCCTAATACTGGGATTAGACCAAGATCCATATATATTTCATATTCATATTACCTGGGCTCTTCGTCTTTGGATGAACGTTTAGGACAGTATTTCTTCACCAGATTTCTGTTAGAGAGAAAGATAGAGAGAGAGATGGGCTTTAAAAAGGGGCAAGGTGAGCCTAAGAATCTGCCTCAGTTAGAAAAATAACACAACTAAGTTGCCCAGCATGAGTTTATTTATATTTCCATACATTGTTTATATTATGTAAATTATATTGTTTAAAATAACACAAATTATATAAAAAAGTAAAAATTATTCCACTCTTGAATAACTGCAGCTAGTCCTCTCTTAGTGACCGCTTGTTCAATGACAGTTCAAAGTTACAAAGTTGTGGATCTCCAAGATCACATGAACATGGTCTAGGCATAAACAAGCTGTCCTGGATTCTCGTCTCTTCCCATGTTGTGGTCACATGATGTCCTCATGTAATGACCCTTGTTAATTACAGGGATTGCTATTGTTAAGCAATGTGGTCATATGATGTCATGTTTTACAACTGTTTTGCTTAGCAACTAAAATTCCAGTTCCAACGGCTGTCATAACACAGAGACTACCTGTATTAGATCAAAGTAATTTGCCATATTTTCTTTCTGTGTAAGGTCACAATGCTAAAATGAAGCCAAAAGGAAAAAAACAGAATTTTCTATGCACAGACTGACTAATTAATTTATAATTGCAAATTCAGCAGCGTTTTTACTGTCTTTTCCCAGAGTAGTAAAGACATGGGTTTTTTTTCAACCAAAACAAGTCATTTTCCACAAGATGGTAAAGAATAGCAGCGGCAGAAGACTGACACTAAAAGAATACAGCAGAAATTCCAAAGATTCCAGTGGCCTCAAGTTAACCAAATTGCTCATAAATATCCCCACAAAGGAATAATGGTATATATTTCACATTTTACAGCAGGAAATCTATTTCATTTCCTCAAGTGATATACTAAGAACATAA